GGGCTGATGCTCGATACGGTGCCGTGGGAGGCCTAACGAGTTGACGGGGCTCCGGCTCGACGAGCAGGAGTAGGAACGGAGTGGATTTTAGTCAGTAAGAATCTGTCACTCCCTCTCACCTAACCCAAGGCGGGAGAAGTGATTGGATGATTTTCCGACCTCAAAAAAAATCTCCTTTAGGTAATGACAACCCGATGTGTAAAAAACCACCAAAAAAACTCCTTATATTATTGGTATTGATTACGCTGTGGAAATTATGGACAATAGAGCCAAAGGGGTGTATTAAGTCTTATAGAGGACATTAATATCAACATTAAAGTCCATGTATCATATGTAACTAACCTAATATCAGAATACCTATTTTTTCATTTAAATGTTTGCGATAGTAACGCATGTCGTACCGGTACATATCAGGTCACATTATAGGAGAGAGGAAATCCCAAAATGACGGAAACTATGCGCTAAAAAACCAGGACTAAGGACGTTGAAATAAAGAGGGGCTCTTACCTTTTAAACCATTGAACCTATTTGGTGAAATTCGGTACAGCGATAGTTTGAGACCCGGGAAAGGACATCTAAAAGTTTTTAACCCGAAAAACCCACGAAACCGGGAACTGTGCTGTTAAAATCACTATATCTATTTGATTGAAATGCGATACAACATTGATTTGCAAACATAGAATAGTGAAACCTCACGAGACGGGCACTGTACGGGTAAAACCTCTATGGGATTGTTTATTTTAGAAACCACGAAAATAAATTCATTTCTCAATAAATATAACCTAGGTACTGAATCGATTGTGATGATATTTGTTCCAGTTGTACAGCCGTAGAATATACCTTGACAAAGACTAATTTAAAAACCCAATTTATACAGAAGTCGCTATTTCACGCGGACGAAGTCGCGGGTAACAGCTGGTTATTAATATTTATGTAATGTAATAACAAATGTACGGCTTATACTCGGCTCGGCCACAGCCGGCCGCGCTTGTAGTATAATAAAACAAAATCGCTATCCGCCGCCTTTCTGTCCCTATGTATGCTTAGATCTTTAAAACTACGCAACGGATTTTGATGCAATTTTTTTTAATAGATAGAGTGATTCTTAAGGAAGGTTTATTTGTATAATACATGCATAATATACCTAGTAGAGAAACACTGATAAACTTAGAGGTTTCTAATGTGATGTCGTAAATTACATAAACATTGCACCCATGTGAAGCCGGGGCGGGTCGCTAGTTATCTATAAAACATGAACATATTAGGCTTGTGTAGTTCGCGAACGAACTAGTTCAAAAGAGCGCTCCCACATTCAAAATATGCGAACTAGTTCACGTCATTCCCAACTCCTTAGTTCCTTAGTTCGTATTTCAAAGTACAAGTACAAGGATTGTGAAGTCGTTTATATGTATAGTCTATGGTGAAGACCGAACTAAAAAATGCGATAACATAATTGATCTCACTTGAAAAGTCATGAGCTGAGTCGGGAGCTGACGAACTAAGGAGCGATTTGGCTGCCAGTGCGTTCCTAGTTCCTATACGATTCATTCCAATTCCAACTCCAACTGCGAGTCGGGAGCTGACGAACTAAAAGAGCGAACTAGTTCGTTTAGGAGCGGCGAACTGATCTGAGTGATCTTAGTCGCGAACTATTAAGCACAAGACTAGAACATATTAGTTGAGCAGTCTTGAGAAATTTCAGATAGCTAAGTGTGGATGTTAATTTATCTTTTTGACCGATATGTATTATCACATTATTTATCGACCATTGGTTTACAATACCTAATTATAATTTTATTGATACATTATTAAAGAATTTATTTTTACTTAAACGAATACTTTTTACTTAAACATTTTAAAATGTAAATAAAACTGAGTAAAAATTCATCGTCGGTTAAGTAAATAGCTATAATTAACGTCAAAATCAAAATCATTTATTTCGATTAGTCCAGGAAGGCACTTTTGAACGTCAACAACAAAATATTCAAACATTAAAAAATGACAATCTGTCGGTCAGTCCGCTAGTGTAGCTATTTGCTCATTCCAAAGTGTAGATTCCTATGGAGAAGAACGAGCAAGAAGCTCCATAGGTTACTCCGTTACAATCAGGTTCACATAACAATTCTTAGGTACATTGTTTCGTTGGTTCAATTGTATTGTAACTATATTGTAGGGAATCGAGCGATTTACTGCCCGTGGCAATTAATACGTAATGATGTAAGAATTTTGGAAAATCCTATTAATTAAAGGGTTTTTGCTTCTTAGTAGTTAGAACCTGATATGATCAGTTATCGTTTTAGATAATCTTAGACAATTATCGTCATACAAATATCATCTATGTATTGTGTACGTATATAATGGACTGGAAAACCCTTTCACTACGTCACTTGGTATGTAACATGACCTATGAATTCTACCTACCTATGTACAACTAGAATCTTTCAGCCGAATATAATCTTACATCAGTCATCAGGTCAAAAATCGATCCTTATCTTATACTACTATATAAAGCGGAAGAGTTTGTTTGTTTGAACGCGCTTATCTCCGTAACTACAAGTCTGATTTGAATAATTCTTTTTGTGTTGGATAGCGCATTTATCGAGGATGGCTATAGGCTATAAAACATCACGCTACGACCAATAGGAGCTGAGCAGAGCGTGTGAAACCGCGCGGAAGTAGGTAGTCCTACTATAACCACGGATGGGACCCAATAGGGCTGATGCCGATACGGAGCCGCAGAGAACCTAACGGGTTACTGGGGCTCTGGCTCGAAGTACATGAGTAGGAATGGGGTGGTTTTTAGTCAGTAGGAGTCTGACAGTCCCTCCCGCCTCACCTAGGCGGGAGAACTAATTCGATGATTTTCCCCCTTAAAAAAATCCTACCATAACAATGAACAGACAATAGAAGCACCTAATTTATTTCCCTTCTCCTTCAGTCTCAATGAGGTAGGCAATTTTTCATTGTTGCCATATTTCCTATGTCATGTCTAATTTAGGATACTCACGTGAACAGCCTCTGGAAGTCATTAATGGTATAGTTGTACTTGTCGGTCTGCACCAGCACCTCCCCGGGCTTCCAGAACAGCGGCGAGGGGAGCAGCCACGCCAGGGAAGGGCATGTTATCTGCTGCGCGCGCATTATACTCTCCCGGAGCATTAAACTGCCTAGATCATCACCTGTGGAATAAGTATTTGAAATAAGTAGGTACGTAGTTCAGAACGAAATGCAATTATTAATGGTGTCTTTAACTGTCTATTGCTATTGGACGCAAGGCCCAATTACCCTCCTCCCCAGTCTCTACCAATCCACGAATCTCCCACAATTCTCAAATTCCCAATTGCTAAAAGGCCGGTAACGCACTTGTAACGCCCCTGGTGTTCCAGGTGTCCATGGGCGGCGCCGATTGCTTACCATCAAGTGATCCGTCTGCTCGTTTACCGGTTTACCTTATCTCATAAAAAAAATAATTTGGCTAAACCTCGAGAACGGCTGAATAATTTTAGGATTTTCATATCTGTTATTAACGGACGATACAGTGTAGTGCTAGATAGATTTTTGTACAATTTGGCATTAAGGTACTATCGGACAGGATAATTATTTAATAAAATAATTAATCCAAGCGAAATCGCAACCAAAAGCTCTTCTTTTATACATACAAATGTGATAATGAAGCGGTCATCGACCACAATGAGTAATCCCTTATTAGAATTTTCATTACAAGAATATTATTCAAACAATACACGTAGGTAATGACATACACAGTCAGTCACAGACATATTCAGTTTCCCCATAAGGGTAGGGAGCAATGCACCTTTACCTATTTTATAATAGAAACAAAACTATTCCCATAGTTAAATCAAATAGGAGAATTTCTAAACTGATAAACGCAATACTACTTTAACCTATTGTTAATCAATTCTTTTTCCTGGCCTTTAGACTGGCAAAACATTAGAACAAAAACAATAGGCAAGTATTTAGTTCACATTAAATATGATACAGACTTCATCATCAACAGCCTATAAGTGCCCGCTGCTGAGCAAAGCCTCTTCTCACATGGAGAAGGTTTGAGCATTACTCACCACGCTTGCTCAATGCGGGTTGCGGCGATGTCAAACTTATAATTAGAAATTATAACCCCAGGTTTCCTCACGATATTTTCCTTCACCGTTTGTCAGTGGTGTCTAGATACTTGGTACTTGCCGTTGGTAGGTTTCGATCCCGCATCCTCTTACATGAGAAGCGGGCATCTTAAACCTCCGGGCCACCACGACTGACGATGACGATGATACAGACTTGTATGACTCAATTTCACAAAGATCGTAAATTACTACGGCCGATCACAGTACAAACTTACTACCGACCAGTATATATTGATCTCTTGTTACATAGGATTTATTTACGGTCAGAGGTCATGATAAAACGGAAATATATAGCTTGTTGTGCGGTTTGTTAGTATTTACAGCGGAGATACTGATCAGGACATCCGTTGACTCATATTTAGTAAACAGTTGGTACGTTACAACTCATTTCATTGTATTGTATTGTACCTTACTATGCTTACTACTACGTCCCCGTTTGTTGATTTCGGGTTCGATAAATAAGTAGGCTAGCAAAAAATTTTTGTTTCAAATTATATGTTTGTTAATAGACCTACCTCAATATAACAATAGGATTATAATAAAATTGGGTACTAGCCAACTAGTCAAATTCAATACTTTTTTCGAACTGTCAAAAACGACAGATTTCTATGAATTTTTTTGTACGAGATTGTGTATTGTGAGGTCACGATTTTTTAGCGTCAAACAGCATACTTATTTCTTAAGAATTTGCTGGAAAAATTCTAAAATTAAGTTGGTCATAAAATTAATTAATGAAAACGTGATAATTTTTTAACATTTTATTGTATTGAACGGTCGAAATAATTTATTATATATAACGATTAAGGAAAGTACCCATAACCCAATTACGAAACTGGTAAAGAGTGGACTTACAAACTGCACTTTTCACTAGTTTGGGATCATAAAATGCGTAATGCCTCAAGTTGGGAGCCGATAGATATGGTGCAAAATACTTTGTATATGTATTTATGTCCATAGTTGTGGCTTCACCGCTTCGTTAGCTATTTAGCCACAACACTTTTAATTAATGTGTTATCTATACCAACCGTTAATAGCAACAATATTAGTAATTTAATTAATTATAGGTACATTTATCAATCTGTTACCTACAAAACTAAACATAGTGAATGTTTAGCTGTAATCTCTCTATATAAATATAAATTAATTCCGTTCGTTAGGCTCGCTAGAACGAGAACGACTGAACCGATTTGGCTAGACCAGGGAAAAAAATGTAAGAATTTTTTATTTTATTGTATAAGCCGGTAACCGAGCAGACGGATCAACTGATAGTAAGCAATCGGCGTCGCCCTTGGACACCTGGAACACCAGATGCGTTACAAGTGCGCCACCGGCTTTTTGGGGATTACGAGTTTGAGGATCGTTGGAGATTCAGGGATTGGGGAGATTAGGAAAGGGGAAGGTAATTGGACCTCCGGTAACCTCACTCACACGACGAAACACAACGCAAGCGTTGCTTCACGTCGGTTTTCTGTGAGGCCGTGGTATCACTCCGGTCGAGACGGCCCATTCGTGCCGAAGCATGGCTCTCCCACATTTTTTTATTTGGCTGTTCGAAGTTTTCCGTTTCAATACATATTTAGGTAATACACTTGTAATTTATTACACATAGATATTATATTTCCAGGAAAACCAACCGTAGATAGAAACTTCTACAAGAATATGATCAACAGACCATGACAATCTATTGCTTGACTATTATGGGCCTTGTCTACATATTAAGAGGGGTTTTGATTAATAGTTTAATATCTACGCTTTGCTGCTGGTCACAACTTGTAGGGCGTGATTACAGATGCAAAAAAATTGGCCAACCGACAGAGGAAAGCCTGAAACCCCCTTTTATGGGATAATTCAGGAATCCACCAGACCAGGTGATCCTCTGATGGTAAGCAATAGGCGTCGCCCATGGACACCTGGAACACCAGCGGCGTTACAAGTGCGTCACCGGCCTTTTGGCGATTAGGAATTTGAGGATTGTTGGGGATTCAGGGATCGGGGGTATTAGGGGCATAGGGGGAGATAATAGGGCCTTCGGTAACCTCACACGACGAAACAAAACGCACTTGGGACCATAAAAATTAATTCGTATATGTGTTCCGAATTGTAGGCATAATAATATCTTTTAATACCTAATTCAAGTTCATATTGTTTTACTTCAAAAGGCGTGTTGCAATGGTTATTGTAGCATTCTTTGATCATTTTACTTGTCAGCAAATGTTTATGAATCAATCTCTCATTTGATTGTAAACAATGGCACGAAAGGTCATCATAAATTGGAGAAAATTATTATTAGTGATCACAATTAATTTTCAATTAGCTTCTGATTCATAGATCTCAACCTTTGTATATTGTGAATAGATGTTACTGTTATATATTATGTATTAATTAATCAATTGTGAAAATTACACTATTCAGTGCATCTTTTTTGCATCTTTGTGTTTGATTAGTAATGCATTTATTGTGTGAAACTGTGCACTTTTAGGTAGGTTTATCAAAACTGTTAACTTTATATTTGTCATGATTAGATAACATAGTAAAAAAATTCTTAGAAGTTGCTAGACGAGTTTATTATGGCTTGAATTGTGTTACAATTAATAAAATGATAGTAAGTTCCAATATCAAATACTATTCATTATCCGGTTTTAGTTTGCGAGCATGATCCCGTGATCTGCAACGACCTTTCAGAAGTTTTGGCATATAACAGCTGTTCATATTTACAAACAAGCGATAATACCCTTATTACTATGCGACATAGTATGAATAGATAAAAACAAGCTTTTGCATAATTTCCGCGTCTTTATACTGTGACGTCACACAAAGGAGGTCAAGTCGTATGTTTATCTTTGATATTATTGTATTACATTATATTGAAGCCTTCTAGAATCAACCTACTTAGATAGATGGAGATCGGACGATCATGTGGACCTTGGTACTATATTGAATGAGATAACAAAGACCTTTTTAATTATAATAAAATACGCACAATTTTTTGGTTATAATTATCATTAGATATTGACACCAAACCTGTCCCAACCATCCCCATCCTCTGGTAATTCTCAAGTCTATAATCCCCAAAGGACAGGTAACGAACTAGCCACTTCTCTGGTGTTGCAGGTGTCCATAGGCGGCATCAATAGCTTACCATCAGGTGACACGGCTAGTCGTTGCCGCTGTACCTAATTTACGAAAATTTACGAAAAAAGAAACATACCTATAGCAAATACCTTGACGGCCTTCATGGACCCGCCCCAGGGTGTAGACAAGGAGATGAGGCGTCGGATGTACTGGTCCTTCCACGCCTGAGGCTGTAGACGTAAGAAGTGCATGGCCATCAGCCCCCCCATACTGTGCACGAGGAGTGTCACTGAAGATTTGTTGTTCGCCGTGTATGTATTTTCCACCATGGTCTTCAGATCCGTGAAGAATTTGCCATTCTCATCTGCGGAAGATATGGTGATTAGTTAGGTATACTGAATTTACGAGGTGTGATAGAATAGACCATTGGTGCAAGAACTGAATGGTGCTGGCCACGACACAGAAAAGTTTAGTTTTAACGCTTTGGTACTTTAAAAAGTATAATAGAATTCTATATAGCGTTGCGCGTCCGCGTAGAATTTGAATTTTAGAACGCAACTTTTTTTTTATTTGTCCAAAATAAAAGTAGCCTATGTTACTCCTTAGTACATCAGCTCCTACCGATAAAAGTCTTACAAAATCGGGCCAGCCATTCCAGAGATGAGCCAGTACAAACAGGCAAAAAAAATATTTTGTTAAGTATGTGTATTGGAGTGTCTGCTTGCAATATTGAAATTACCGCTTTTTAAATACATCCTTACTAATATTATAAATCTGAAAGTGAGTTTGTTTGTTTGTTCCGCTTTTACGCCGTAACTACTTAACCGATTGCTTTGAATTTTTGCAGACGTAAAGTTAAAAGTCCCGATTAAATAATAGAGTACTTTTTATCCCAGAAAAAAATTATATTCCCGAGGGAAAACAAAAGTATTGGTATAGATGGCACTGTATGTATTGGTATATGTCACATAGGCTACTTTTTATCCTTTTGTGACGCGAGCGAAGCCGCGGATAAAAGCTAGTATGAATATATGTCGCAAGGATATGATAAAAACAAGGATTTGGAGGAGAATAGACACGCCTGTGGTTTTGATAGCGTTGAACTTGACCAAGTTGGCGTCATTAGTAATTTTAAAGATCAATATTGCATTGTACTTCACCTGACTATTAGAATTAAGAAGGTAATCTTACAAAATAAACCTTTAAAATACCACAGAAAAGTTATTTCTGTCATTTCGCTGAACCAATCGTGGGATTTGTTCAAATCACTAGATGTTTTTAGTGAGATTTGTCAAATGACAAAATTTGCTCAGGGAAATGCTAAAATCGTGTCGTTATTTTGACATCCTCCATGATTTGAATAAATCCCTGTTTTTATCATAATCTTGCGACACATACATTCGATACATATACCAGTATAACACTTATACAAAAAAGGAGATTCCTTGCTGTTTACCTATTTTCTTAAACAAATATTGTTTGTCTTCTAACATAGAAGTACAAGTAAACTACGTAAAGTCATTGTCGAAAAATATCAATTAAGAATAGAAGCATGTCTGCTACATTCAAAGTTAACCAAAGAAAAAAAAAAAAACCAAAAAAAAATATTCAACATTTGAAATTTCGGTAACATTCAAATTACAATGCGATGATTCAATGCCTAAACTCATCAATACTAATGAAGCTAGATCAATTTAAAATTGTATACGATCAATGCTACGTACCTGTGAACTTTTAACAAGTAATGGGAGCGGACATTGTATCGTAATATTTTAAATAAAACATATTTTGCAACAGAAACTCTAATTTGGAATTCTGCCAGATGTTAGGCAACAGTCAAGTGTCTCATCTGTTAAAATGGAACTGTTTGGCGTGTGTTAAATTGGAATGTTTTTTTATCAGTACCTACTGGAAAAATTTGCGTATCGAGTAACTCTCTTAGAAGGGTCGGAAGAAAATATATATCTATGATTTTTTAATTGTGTGAAAACGTAGCCTAGCACTACTATCTTCCTTAGTGTTTACTGTGCGTTAAACATGCTTATTTTATATATATAATAACTTCCAGACCTGAAATAATAATTTATTGTAGATCATGGAGCTGGTTTCCCAGCAACTCTACAATAAATAAACAGGCCATTCAAAATAACAGACGACCGGTAAATCACAATAAACATGAAGGACTTATTATGAATCAAATATTGATATCCTTCAAACTCGCCGCATACTCGCATGATAGACGACGATTATTTCTAGCAGTAGGCACGCTACAGTACCTACCTGGCGATAAATATTGCTCACCGAACTTCGGAAAGAGACAAACGGCCAAGTCGTACCCATACTGCTCATGACTATGAGCACTCTCATCAAAACATGACAAGATTGAAAAATAATAAGGTTGTACAACTAAATGAACGATACTTTAATGTGGGAGAGCCATGCTTCGGCACGAATGGGCCGGCTCGACCGGAGTGATACCACGGCCTCACAGAAAACAGACGTGAAACAACGCTTGCGTTGTGTTTCGTCGTGTGAGTGAGGTTACCGGAGGCTTAATTACCCCCTTCCCCAGTCTCCCCAATCCCCGAATTCCCCACAATCCTCAAACTCCTAATCCGCAAAAGGCCGGTAACGCACTTTTAATCTGCATAAATAAAAATGGATTTCCGTTCGTTAGTCTCGCTAAAACTCAAAAACGGCTGGACCGTTTTGGCTAATTTAGGTCTTGAAAAGTTTGTAGAAGTCCTGGGAAGGTTTAAAACATTGTATTCGGCAGAACGAAGTTTGCCGGTTCAGCTAGTATAACATATATTTGTCTCTTTCTACTAAAAGTTGATGTGCTATATTTATTGCCGGGTACTGTATACCTTTTAGTAATAGTTAAAACGACAAACGATCCCGCAACCTAACTCTAGCAAGTTTTGTTTAAACCAGCTGTGTCATCGAGGTCACCAACGCAAGTAGGTCAGTGGGTTTTAGGTAATCTAAGTACTTACGCCCGAATACTGAAAGGCTACTTATTTTAAAATGTACTTAAATTTCGTGCTACCTCTGTCATTTTACAAAGAATTTATTGTGACGGAACTATACTTAGGTAAGCGCGACTTAAAGTTGAGTGGCGTTTGAGTATTTGGACATTAGTTACTGAGACTTGATTAATCATTTAATTATGCAAATATTATTGTTAAGATTTTCTACATAATGTAAGAGTTTTATGCGGATTCATATAATAAACAATGGTATTGTTTTACTATATTCCAGGTTAATTTATATTTAGTTTTTAGTTCTTATGTCACTTTAGACTTTAGACGAGGTATTGTATTGAGTTTGACATATGGGTAGATGTTTTTTTTTTGAAAGAAATCATACAATGACTTCTCCCGCCCGGGTGAGGGTAGAGGGAGTGTCAGACTCTTACTGACTAAAAACCACCCCGTTCCTACTCCTGCACTTCGAGTCGGAGCCCCAGCACGACCCGTTCAGTCCCACGCGGCTCCGTATCGGCATCAGCCTTACTGGGTCCTATCTGTGGTGGTCGGATGGTTCTTTGAGATTTACGCTGAACGCGACGCGCCAAGGTACATATTATTGGCATAATAGTTAATACTTTAATACAGTGGGAAGCAAGTCAACCTAGTCTTTTCTGTCAAATCCTTTTACTATATTTCAACTATATCGTTAAATTATAAAGTCGAAAATCGTATGACAAAAATTTACATATTGGAGAAGGTTGATGTGACACTGTACATATTATTAGAAAAGTCTATTATCGCACAGTTATGAATAAGTATTGAATGTGTATTGTCTATCAATAGCAAAGTACTTCTTTCTGATACATGACATGTGTCGCACGATTTAATGAGTAGAGGCACTTTCAACCAGTAACATAATTATTTTTTTATATGGAGCAGGTATTTATACTATGTAGATAAACATTGTTAATGAAAAATATAGGTAGTATTAAAAATATGCATAAAGCAATGAAATGTCAGGTATTTTTAATGTCTGATATTTGTTATGGAATTTATGTTCATTACATTATGCGTGATATTATTTTATTACTTGAACACTAGCTATTCAAGAATGAAAATAATTAAACAATATAAAAGATAACAAATATACTTACTTGGAGCTTTTCTGAAGTCATACGGAGCTCCAAGAATGGACACATTTCTTTGATATCCTAGCTTGACTAGTGAATCTGCAATAGTGTTGAAGTATGCTCCAGTACTCTGATGTGATGGGTCCAGCCATTCCACAGGTTCCGGGTTCCCCCACCCTGGTATCCGTATGTCAACACCGCTGGGGCCTTTTGTTGTCCTTGTAACATTGTCGTACTCTAACTTTAAATTATCCACCCAGCAATCGATGACAAACGGTACTAACAGCTCCAAGTTGAGCCATATGTTGAAGTAATCTGGTGATGTCTTCGCACAGATGTAATGCACGACATTTGTTTTATTCAATTTCGCCTCGAGTTGACTTCCTCCATCCCCAGGGACTGTTGAATAAAATAATATTTCATTAATATGAGACTGTGTAGGAAGGAGATGGATGACTTCTGTGGACTCGCTCTGCCTCATCTAGGGGAAAAAGGACCTTAGTTGCAGATACCCCAACTGGTCACGGGTGACCACTCTCCACTTACTCCATTATAGACCATATTTCTGACATTTAGAGGGTAGTTTTGTATGAACAAATGTTGTGGATTTTTTGCACAATATATTAACTCGTCGAGTACCGTCATTATAGACACAATTATAGAACAATAGGTTGCGGTCACCGGTGACCGCTTGGTGTTTGACAGTTTAAGTCAAGTATATAGTTATAAAGTCAAGTAAGTCAACATAAACAAATTAATTTTTTCTTGTCATTAACACTTTTACAATTCAAAGTATGGTGTATTGTCTTATAATTGGTAAAGCAATTAACTCGTCGAGTACCGTCATTATAGACACAATTATAGAACAATAGATTGCGGTCACCGGTGACCGCTTGGTGTTTTGTTCTTTTAAACTAAAAAGAAACCTGGAAATTGCAAATAAATTTAGGTAAATAGCAATTTTCGTAATTATAATTTTGTTTATCAACATTCTTATCGAAGTGTTGTTAATTTTTATCCCACTTTGAGATTTTCCTTTGTATTGTTTTGTGTATAAACACTAATAGATATCATGTGGACATTTATGTTCAGAAAACAAACCTATAGTAAATATTACTCAGACAGTGTCTATTTATTTTTATATATATTTCTCTCAGATTACACAGACACATTACTACAATTATCTTGAGGTATTTTGAAGTACCTACAATAAACGTTTTTGTAGCACATAAAAATACCATACTTTCACAAACAATATTGTGTTCTATCTTGTGGTATTTTTAAATACATTGAACGATTAAACACATCAACAGAAATAACATTTTACAATCAATTTCTCCTATCAGCAATGTGTTTATGATGATAGCAATTAATTAATTGCATGATTGCATTAATAACTGTTTTTCAAAGATTGCACATTTGTTAAATTTACAGATTTTGTTTCATTGTTTACAGAACAATAGACAGCAGGAAATGAAATGGTGATTTATTAACATTCCATATATTTAAATTACTTAGTAGTGTGAGTGCTACTAATCTATATAATTTAATTAATTCACTGATTAATTAGTAAACATAGTTGAAGAACAATTAAAAACATTTATCGACACTGTAAAGAAGTATAGCAGTTTATAAAGAGCAATAGATGAATATTCTAGAATTATAGGTAAATGTAATAACGATACTTACTGAGGATTACAGGCGATAGACCTAGAGAATTCCGTGCAAGCAGTCCGCAAGTAAACAGTATAAGAAAACTTAATTTAATACTCGTCATTTCCTTAGACACTGGATATATTATTAAAATGCGTCGCGTTAACTGTTATTTTTTCACAAACGCCTAGACGTAAATAGCGATACGTCCGACTAGGTACCGTTTCTGTTTACAACTATTGCCGCAGCTATTCGAGTTCAAAAGGTGTGCAATGACGTAGCGTAGCGGACTAGCGGGATCGCACGATGATAACTTGAAATTGGCGGGGGTAAATGGACGACTGATAACAACAGTTGAAAAACCGCGTAAACAGTCAAGGTTTATGTCAACAACATTGTTTTGATCTCGACTGAGAAATCAAAACACGACCGCGTCGAACGACAATGATTACACGATAAATAATCAGGCGACCCGCGACTTGCGACATCTAAATTTAAAACGTTTCGTTACGAACAAGGTTACAATATTGACAATACGTAATGTCAAATAATGTAATTATTGAGTGACAAAGTTACATTGAGATACTTAACACCTTTTATAAATAAAATATATTGTTTTATACTATAAAAGAAACGCTATTATCGTTTCAATGTATGTTAAATGAACAGTATGAAAATAAATTATTTCTAAATATTCTACATATTTTTCGTAGTAATGGAACGTAAATGTCAAACGTGTGACATTATTGTGATCGTTCTAAAACCACTTTACGTGTATTACTTATCTTAAAAAATACTAACTATGCTTTTTATGAAATTGTACTTATTTTAATAAGTTAAAGTATATTTTGTTTCTTATATGGGCTAAATCAAAGTACTTTTCGAATGAATTTCATCAATTATTATGTAATTGCACCCGGAATAACATTAGACATTTCTGGTCAAAACATTCAGAAGGACGACGAGAAAGCGCGCAGGCGCGAACACTTCAAAAATGGACATTTCCAGAGCATAGTTTTATTGTAAGAATTTAGCTTAATTTTGTTATATTTAGTAAGATTTGTATTAGATAATTGTTAAAAATGTTAGGAAAACATTACAGTAAGGGAACAAAAACAAGCGTCTTTCGCTTTTGTGTTAGTAACTGAAATGTTTCTGCAGGTATGTTGTGTGAACATTGGAATCAATAAATTAATTTGGGATTATGAATTTAAGCCACAATAATTATTTGCAGGGTCGTGTTATAATTGTTTGGTTATCTTGGCTTATTGGAGGTATTTGCGGAGTTGTTATTTTGTTAGTTATAATTTGTTACTGCCGCCTAATGCCGCGTCATCAGAAATCGTTTGGTAAGATTACATTCTTTTGTTACAAACTGGCTATAATTCATAATAATGTTAATAAAATACCCAATTCATTATTTTTCAGATGAACAATACCTTAAGGAAAACTATGCTATCAAAGAAAACCATGCATATACTAGTCAGGAAAATTATAGGATGAAACATGCTGAGGTGGGTATCGTTATTACCAAGTCGAATAATAATTTTAGAAAATAGTTGCAAAAGGCAATTCCTTTCACAATGATTTGTAGGTTAATTAGCTTGTGCTGCCTGCCAATAAAATCCAACGATTGCTTGTAACTGCAGTGCAGAAACACATGCTATAAAATGAAGTATGTAATTTATTATAGTTATAGAGGGACTATGAGGCTCTAAACTAGTAAACTTGGAAACTACATGAGTAAGCTGTAAAAAGAAATTGTAATACTAAAATGCAGGTTCAAATCCAGCGTCACACAAGACCAGTCAGTTATGCCGGAGATGCAGAATGTAGAGGAAATCGAGAAGCTCGCCATCCACCACAATGCTATGTCAACCGAGTTCCAGATACCAGGGAGCAATGCATGCAATATGCGTCAAGCAGTAGTAAGTTTTCAGTATATAGAATTAAAGTTGTAAATTGTAAATCAAAGTTGGGGTTCCACAGGGGAATATTTTAGGACCGTCCTCATTTTGAACCGACTTCATTAGCAACAATAACTGAATCTAAATTGACAATTATGGCTAGAGATATAATTATAAATTAATTGTTTTAGTGTTAGACGAAATAGATAGTGCAGCAAACATTGATGCACTGAAGACAAGATCGCTCCCTGCATTTCTTAGGCCCAAACCTCGGCCACTCTCCACCGAAGATGACCTACAGCAACTGTACGCTAAAGTAAGTTTCGAACTAGTAAAATACCAGTCTTTTGTTAATTTAAATTAGATTTAGGCCAATTAGGCCAAACGTCTTATTGAACTTTATTAATCTATCTTAATTATCATATTAAGAAAATATAATTTTGACGAGGTCATAGGGTATCTAACATCACGCCACTAGTTTGAAAGGTGGGTTGGTAAAATAAGTAGATTCAAACATCGATTATCTATTCGAAACAGTATGTGGAAAAGGGGTCAAGTCACATTATTAATCGAATTATTTGGTTCTGACAG